AAAACCTTCTGAATAGGACATTAAAGATTGAGACTACTAAATACTATTTAATACACACTGTCAACACTGGATGCCATGTCAGTTTTGCTGAGGGAAATAAATGTTTATGGCAGAGGTTCAGGATTGTCAGTATCCTCTGTTGTACTTGGTTGTCACACTGAAAACAGGTGCAGGGCCAGTGGTATAGGGGCTGAAGCCAGCTCACACAGGCTCAGGAGAGCCACTGTATGCATCTCTTCCCAAGTTCATGGTCAGGCTGGTAGCTACCACAGTACCACACAGTGGAAGTATTTACATCATGGAAATCAGCAAACACCACAAATCAGGGTAATTTTTCCCAAAAGTGGGTTGTTAAATATATACTAGTGTGCCACTGTTGCAGGCAGAACACAACTGGGCACCCTATGCAGCAGAATAAGGAGCAGCTGCACAGTGGATTGGATGGCAGGGACTATATACTGGGTCAGAGGATAACATGCACATATTTGAGTACAAGTCTGTGCCCACCCAGGCTAGAGTCTGCCAACTCACTCATCTGCACACACTACATAAAAAAGCAATAATAACTGATATTTGCATTGCTCTATAGTATCCATACACTATCTAGAAAAAACTTCTAAAATCTGCCTATTTACTTCTAAGTTGATAAGGAAAGAGAAGATAACTGTCCACATTTTCAGAAATTTAACTACCTCTCTACCAAGTCACTGGCTCTTTGGACTTCTGCTTCTCCCAGAGGATATTTCAGACTGTAATCATATCCAACAGATAGCTAACAAGCAATATGAAGGGTAAACTCCTCATTTGATCAAACCCCTCTCTCTCTTCTCTATCCCTCCCTTCTCCTTGTTTTGATGACCTTACAATATTAACCACAGGAAACAGGCTTTTCCAAAGACACATAATGAATTGTCAATTTCTTTTTGTGTTAATTTATAAGTACTATTTGCTTTACATGCCCACCTGCAAGGTATGGAGGTTCGTTTCTCCATATTCTCACCAGCCAATTAAACTTTATTAAGTTTTAATAGGTTGTCCAGAGAAATTTTGGGACAAAGCACTTACTTTTATGATACTATTTAGTACATCTCCTTAGGATAAATGTAAGCTTTGGAACATGGAAAGAGAAAGGAAATTCATAGTCCAAAGTCCCCTACAACTCCCCTTTCTTGCTAGCATCAGGTATTGCTCTACCATCAGTTTTGTATATAGTGACCCAAGCTTCCCTGTCCAATCTTAACCTTTAAGGAACTCAAAGCCCAGAGTGATGCTGTCTGCCCTATCCTAAATCCAGCCTGTAAGATCTTGTATACATATCAGACTAGGATACTAGAATACCCAGGTTCTAGGAATAATTTGCTAGTAAAGAAAACAATCTGGGCCAGTCATGGCAGCTCACACCTTTAATCCCAGCACTTTGGGGGGCCAAGGCAGGAATTCAAGGCCACAGTGAACTAATAAGATTGTGCCCCTCCACTCCAGTCTGGGCGACAGAGCAAGACCCTCTCTCCCAAACATAAAAATTTAAAAAAGAAAAACAGTCTAGATCTGCCTAAGTTATGGACACCCTCAATGGGCCTCAGAACAGTTTCTACTAGCTGAAAACATATATGCACGGCTATGTAGAAGTAATCATTTTAATTGCTTAGAGCAACTGCTTATATTTTATGCCTAATGTCAGTATTCTTAAAAAGATTATCACTACCCGTAAGTAAAAATGAGATTAATTTTTCTCCAAGTCTTATTTAACTAAGTTTTGGTCTCATACACTGAGATACCATAGCTAGTTCTTTTTATAACATGGTCATCTACTCACAACTTGATATTTATAGAACTGTTCTAAAGGAGTGCATGACAAAGAGCCCATAAATGTAATAAGATTAAATAAAAAGTGATAATCAATGCCAGTGATACTTTTCTGAAATTTTCTAAATACCTAAACACACCATCTGTAATATACAAATGGAAGCCCTTTAATCATATTTGCCTCTTGCTTTTAATTAATAAACAAAAAAGGAGAAACAGGCCTGCTAATATCTACTACAGTTATTTGTTATGAGAGATTTAATAACTACAATATACAGTCAAAGAAGAACTCTCTCAGGCATCTATTCTCCTACATCAATTTCTTTGGAGGCAAATTTCAGTGTACAGTATATAAAACACAAAATGTAAAGTTTAATTTTTTATTTCAAAATATTAAGGGATAAAAATGTTTTTGTTACATGGATACCTCATATAATGCTTAAGCCAGGGCTTTTGGTGTGTCTGTCACCAGAAATGCAAAGCGTTTGAAAGCAAAAAAGACAGTATTAAAAAAGATAACTCAAATATTTTTCTGCTTGGAACTCATAAAATGCCATTTTATAAAATTGTTTTCACTTATAAGAGGAATATTATGCCAAAACTATTTGATTGGTTGAATAAAAAATGTTCTGTGTTGTTTTATTTTTAAAATATTCATCATATTGTTCTAATTTCTTGGGTTTATTGAAGATAAGGTACTTCAACATCTATTTTTATTTTTATTTTTTTTTAAAGCAGCCCCAAAGAATATGGAACATCTATTTTTATGTCAATTAAAAACATAACCCTTGGGTGTGGCAGCTCAGGTCTGTAATTCTAGCAACTTGAGAGGTGGAGATGGTACGACTGCTTGAGGCCAGGAGTTCAAGACCAGCCTGACCAAGAGGGAGACACCCGTCTCTACAAAAAATATTAAAATTAGCCAGGTGTGGCGGCACGTGCCTGTAGTTCCAGCTACTCGGGAGGTTGAGGCAGGAGAATTGCTTGAGCCCAGGAGTTCGAGGTTGCAGTGAACTATGATAATGCCACTGCGCTCTAGCCTGGGCAACAGAGCAAGCAAGACCCTGTCTCAAAAAAACAAAACAAAACAAAACAAAACAAACAAAAAAACTTAACCCACAGGTATTCAGTATGTACCTCACTACCTCTGGGCTCATCTCAAGTATACAAGTACACAGTCTGTCCTTCTGATTGTTACATGCTGATTATTATAAAGTCACAGAATTTTAGGGTTAGACTGGACCTCTCTATATATATTTTAATAATGAAGCAACTGAGGCCCAGAGGGGCTTAATGAACTATCTAGTCACTAAAAATGAATAAATTCAGAATCAGAAGTGCTAAGTTCAAGTACTAGCTTTACCACTTACTACAATCTTACACAATTTAGCATTCATGATCCTCAATTTCTTTATCTGTAAAATTGGAATAGTATTGTATAAGTCACAGGATTTTAATGGGGAACAACGGGACATATAGTAAAAACGTAATCATGTACAAAATGACATAAGTTTCCACAAACCTTCTGAAGTTCGTCAAGTAACAGATTTTTCACATGTTGTACTGAGGTTAAATTTGTATTCACTCTGACAGTTGTGAATGATGGAGGATGTGACAGGTGCTTTAACAGAGTTTCAAACTTCCTTTCTGCTTCTTGTTCACCCAAAGCAGATACAACCTAAAAACAAAAGAACAGGTTAATCTTTAAATTTCATTATATGAATTACAAACATTCAGCAGAATATGCTTCTACAGCTGTTCCATCTAATGTAACATTTTTTAGCAATCGTTCAGTTCCCTTTCATTTTGCTGTACTGTTTATGTGTTAATGACACTAAGGGGGCAATAATACTTCACATAGTTCTTGAGTTTAATTGTGGTATTATAATAAACACCTATATAATGCCTCACAGGACTTAGAAAAACACTACCTCAACTTTAAAGCATTACTAACATTTTGAAAATATTATCTGCTGTATTTTTCACATAAATTCAAGATTTCATTCCACTTATTTATAATGCATTAACTCTTACAGTACTTCTGTAGAGCTAGTTACTTGCTAACGTCATATCCTAGAATAAATTGGTCAGCAGCCTTTTAAGATACCAATATTTAAAGAACATCAATATACTGTCATCCAAAGATCCCCCAGGACATCAGCTTTTTAAATATGGTATTATTAAATGTAAGAAAGTTATTGTCCAAAAAAAATGAGTAGCAAGATACCTGTCAGAAATGAAGGTATAAACATTCAAACAACCAGGTTCCCTTGAACTTAACTGAAGCTTTTTAAGGCACTCTTTTTGTCATTTTGGACTATATCCTGTTTCACAAAATTTTCACAAACCACTTGTCAGTCTACTAATCCACCAGTCTTAAAGTATTTGTCCTTTCTTGAAGTTTACTTTTATTAGAACAGAATATTCCTCTTTCTCAACTTTTTTTTTTTTTTTTTTTAAACAAAGGGATGGCTTTTGCTTTTGTAAAACTACAGTTGATGGGCTCAAGGCAGATGTGGTGTCAAAGAAAGATACCTGGATTTTGTCATAAAACAATGTTCAACATTTTAAAAACTGCTGGAAAAAAATTGCTGAACGTCCCTACTTCTCTTAATATGTTCCTTATATTTTAAGTCCCTTAAAATCAAGAGAATATATTTGCTCTTCCTAGTCTAGTCTAATCTTAACATAAATAAAATGGAAATACAATGTAGAAATCAAATCTACAAGTCATGGCTTCAAAAATGAGTAACATTTAAGTGGCTTTAGTATGACTAGAAAACCAAGGATTTGCAAAAAAACAAAGTTGCTTACAGCCAGCATGATAATAGAGCACAGGTTTTGCAATCAAAGACAATCAACATTCACTGAGAACCTCTGTGGTAGGCAGTGCCAATAGTAAAACCATATTAACGTTTTTTGAAGACTTATACACCAAAATAATGCCAGTTGCTTTCGCTCATGTTTAATACCCTAAGACAACCTTGTAAAGTACTTTGAAGCATTCTCAATTTTCACAGAAGAGGACATAAACCAAAGTCAAGCAATGGAAAGTAATTTCCTCAAAGCACTGGGATGCAAATCAACTACTTGAGATTCAAAATCTGTATCTTTTTTCATTATACCTGAGCTCCTTGCCTTCAGATTTCAGTAGTTGCTTGACAGTTGTGTCAACTTGGGTCCGTTACCTAAGTTCTTGGACCCTCAGTTTTCTAATTTATTAAAATAGGAACAAACCTCTAGCAGAAAAAAAGACTGTGAAGATTAAATTGTAAAGGTTTGCAAATCACCTAGCACAACTGTTTGGATTTAAAAGGCCCTCAATAAATTACAGTACCCTGTTCACCTGAGTGCCAGAGCAAGCACTGTAAGAGTACAGGTGAATTTTCTTTTCTCGTTCATTCATCCTTGTAACTTCTCCATTGCTACCTACTGACAGGCAAATAAGGTTTCCCCCCACCACCCAGAGCCTTCTTTCCCCTTCCCAAGTGTTAAAACACAGGCCTTATTCACCTCTTATCTCAGTAAGCATTAATACCTGTAGAAAAGACTGGTATTTTTACATTCGGATAAGTAGTAACAAATCATGCTGTAAAGATTTCTCTTTAGACATTTTTCTGTAGAGTGTGTAAATATTTGAATTTTTGCAAATATCATCTAACATCTTTATCTGACCTACCTCCTTGTTCATAAAGCCCTCTTTAAGATAGTTTTCAACCTCGGGCCTCAAAGATATTTTAGGGAAAATAGACATTTTTCTCGTTGTTTAGTTCTCCAAGAGAAATGCCGGAAAACGCTGGTTTTTCTCTTTCTGAATTATAGTGAGCAGTGTCCTGACAAAAACAGCCACTCCCAAAACGCCGGGACCACTAGGTGCCCACGAAAATCATGCCGATCACGCCGAGTTAAATTTGGAAGTGCAGAAAATGTCCACGCTTTCTCGACCATAGCCAGATTAGAAGCGTCTTTGGTCCTCTGGGTATGGTCACGGAAATTATTGAGGCAATGCCCTCAGGTGGCAAAGAAAACCACCCCCCCCCCCCAAAAAAAAAACAAAAACAAAAACTTAGTAGCATGAATCTGTGGTGAACCGGACACAGACCTGGAGATCTGGTCGGAAGCGGCTCTGTCGCTTATCACTCTTATATCCTAATTTCCAAATCCGCGCCCCCAACTTCCCCGTGGAAACCCTTTTCCGGCTTAGCGTCACTTCCGGCGCCTGAGGCGTTCCCCCGCCCTTTCCGGTCCCCTAATCCGCAGCCGCTAATCGCCGCTAGCCACGCCCCCCCGGGGTTCGGAACGGCGGGCGGTGCTTCCGCCCACCGGGTCTGGCAGAGTCTTAAGTAGGGAGGGGCGGCAGGCGGGGTGAGTCAACAGGTCTAGTTCCCGGTTGGAAAGCGCTGGGTGCCCGGAAATGGTGTGAGTTCATGGAAGATATCGCTTGCTTGAATAAGGGGAGGGGCCCAATTCCTGTCCTGCTGGGCGACCACCTAGTAGAGGCGGTGGCCCGGCTTAAATCCCTCAATGCCTTATCTAGAAAATATCTTTTCTACCTCCGTAACGAACAACCACATAGATTCTGGGAAAGAGAATAGCTTTAACTTGCCAGTAGAGTTTAGCAAGATTCTTGGGCAGTCTATGTATTTGCAATGGTTAGGAACTTGATCTCTGGATCAGCTTCAAAAACCTTCCATAAACGGGTAATTTACAAGCCACTAGAACTGCCACTGAGCAGCAGAGCCCCTAAAGGACTTCGTGTGTTCAAGATGGACACTTTGAGGTATCTGTTGGAACATTTATCAAATGTGACAAGGCTGGTCATATTGAGCCCTAAAGTAGAGGAGATGTTAATTCTTATTGACTGAATAATGACCACAGGCAAAGACCTAAGGATATTTTGTCCTCTTAGATGTTTTGAAACTCAGAATATTATGACTCCTCTTTGTAAACATAAAACAACTTCATCAGAATCTTACCAACATACTCTTCGCACCGATAGGAACGACATTAAATTTCTTTTGTATTACCTACACTGCAGCCCCCAAAGAGTGGTGTTCTCTCAAAAGATATTTACCAAATGAGATCATATTGACCTTTTGGACCATATGTAAGAAGAGAATTTTCTAATGGGAAATCTATCAATCCCATCTAATCTGGAGATTGATCAACTAGACTAAAATCACAGTGGTCATTACCTTAAAGGCTGAGAGTTAAAAAAAAAAAAAATTAAAGAGTACGTTTCATTCCTTGCTGGCAGAACAAACTGTCCTTTTAAGTCTTGGTTCAAACCCTGCACAAATTGATCTCGGTTATCTGAGTAATAAATTGACTTCAATGCCAGCTGAGGCCAGTTCTTCCAAGTATTACCTGGAGTTAGTTTATAATAGTTCATTCTAAGAAATATTATAGTTTTATTTTTTAAATTCCTGAGTTGTGACATTTTTCTTCCTTGAAATTTCAGTTTCTTTGTTCTAAGTATAGCATTTATAACTTTTTTTGTATTTTGTTGAACTGGACAGATTTTACTGGGATTCCACTTTAATTAAAAGCAGTTGTTTCCAATTAACATTTAGGAAACAAAATAAGCTATAATTAAAAGCAGGTATTTCCAATTAACATTTAGAAAACAAAATGAGCTGTAATTAAAAGCAGTTATTTCCAATTAACACTTAGGAAAGAAAATAAGATATCATGTTCCTTTTTATGACTTTTTTTCTTATTTCATAAATTCAAAATTTATTTTCAAATAGTACGATTCTACAGAACAGTATTACCTGTTGTGGCATTTTAAAAGGCCACGCTGCCAGGGTTAAAATAAAACCACCCGACTGAAGTCATAGTCTTTTCACTTAAGCTTGCTTTGTCAGCTGGTTTCAGGGACACCCAGTTTGGGATCATTTTAGGGTGTGAAGCTTTTCAATTCATGAAGAAGGTTAAAAAGAAAAAAAAATCGAACCACAGATAGAAAATGAAATTGAAAATCATGTAGGGAATTGGTTTATGCGCTGATTTCGATCTAGGATCCACGAACATACCTAATGCTTGGCAAAATTGCACGGGGAAGGGGGGTGGTTAAACCACATAACTGAACTCTGTGGCTACAGGCATTCCATGGCTCTCTCCCAACCAATTCTACTCAAAGTTAAGAATCACGGCAGAACCCCAAACCCGCCTTCCCAGGGTGACAGGTTAACAGTTCAGTTACTAGAAAACACTTCACTTCTGGGCAGCGAACGGCGCTGCTTAATCAGAGAAATTGCGGACTTTCCCAGTTTCAGAGTCCAAGGACACACCTACAAGACAGCAGAGACAACTCAAAGAAGGGAGCCTGGAAACGCTTCTAAAGGAGAACAAGAGATGGGGCGCTCAACGAGGGAAATTCCCCAATTCCGTATCGTACCTCAATCTCCCAGGCCCGCTAGGGGCCCGCCCGCCGGAAGGGAAACCGAAGGAAGCGCCACGTCGAAGGCGTGGGTTGACGAAAGCGCGCCGCCGTCACTCGCCGTCCTTCCGGTGATGGGTGGTCCTGGGATCGGCCGGGGAGGCGGAGCGGAGGCGGGGCCTGGGGCTGGTAGAGTCTCTAGTGGGTAGGTGGGTTCAGACAGAGGGGACTACGGGTCGGCGTTGGGCTCAGTGGGCTCGAAACAAAGGACTATCCGGTAGGGACGCGGTGGGGCGCTTTCTGACGGGTAGCTGAGCTTCGGGTCGAGGCTTCGCGGCCAACCAGTGTCTTCGTTGCGCGGTCTCAGTCGGCTTTTCCTCGGTTCCCCGCAGCCTGCGCCGCGGTGGGGGGCCCGGCGCAGCAGCACCTGCTGGTGAGGGACCCCGAGGCCCGCCCAGGTGCTCATGATGGGGCTGATCTTCGCTAAACTGTGGAGCCTTTTCTGTAACCAAGGTAAGAAGGATGGAGCCGTGCAGCGGTTCGAGTCCGAGGCGACGGGTCCGGCCGCCGGAGGAAGGGGACAGCAGGAGGCAGGGCTCTCCCGGGACAGAAGCGTTCTGAGACGCAGAGAAGTGACTTAGTCGAAGCGGGTAGCAGAAACTCGACGTTTTAGACTGGGAGAATATGCAGGAGAGACCTGATGTGTGGGAGGAAGGGGCAGTCAGAAGAGAAGGTATTTGGTGTCCCAGAATCCAAATTGAGAATTTTTGGATTTTAGCGAAGTAAAGTGGAACACACCTAAAGACGCTCGGAGGCATTTGGAAGGCCTTCTCTGTCTCTAGTTGGGCGCACTTGTGTCTGTGTCTAGCCCCAGGCTAAGTGTCAGCTCAGAAATCTAAAACTTTTTTTTTTTTTTTAAACGTGTTGCTTTGTTTTCCGCCCTGCCCTCTGAGCCAGTGCACCTTCTTCACGCTCCGATTTCGCCTGATCTCTAGTACTCAGGAATGAGTTATCCTATTCAGATACATGGGGTTTTCTGAAATCTTCATCCTAAGCACTTTTTTTCTTAGACGTTAAAAACCTAAATGCTTTCGGTTCTGTGTAAGATGTTACGTGTCCGTAATTAGTCTAGAACAGGTTATGAGACATCGAGAAGTCGCAAGTCCAAAGGGCCAGTAAGTTGTAAAACCTGTTCTGAGAATGAGATGTGATGTCTTCTGGAGAAAATATTTAGACAAAAAAGGGGCCGACAATAAGTTAAGCTGTAGGCATTTCTATTTACAGAATGGTTTCTTAGTAATTGAAACCAGTTTTTAAGTGCAGCTAGTTTCATTTTACATTTATAAATTTTATTTTTATGAAGATACCAATTTGTTATTGCTAATGTGGGTATCCGTTTTCTGAATGTAAGAAGTCTTGAAGAGCATGAAATGGTGTTAGTTCACTTGTTCTATGGATTGATAAGAACTTTAATCTTTCTGAAGGTTATAAATAAAGATACGTATGTGTGTCTATATGCAGTTACCACAGATAAATATTATTTATCAAATGATTTCAAAGTGGCCAGAGTTTAACTCTCTGTGGGTATTATCCATAAATTTAATAAATCACTTTTCAGCGTGTTTATATATTCTAATCCTTGTTAAATATATTCATCATGTAAAGCAGCATTTCAAGAGATGCTTAAAAGTATATAAAGATTAATACAATAATCACCTGTTTATCTTTCCCTAGCGCTTAAGAAATAGCATTACCAAATTAGTTGGTTCTCCATGTATACCCTTTCCCATTCCCCTTTCTCGTTTTCCTGTTTTAATACTGCTTCTCTTTTTTTTTTTTTTTTGAGGCTTCCTTAATCAGACTAGAAGGGAATAAAAGATATAAAGGGAAACTGAGAAGATGATGAAAGACATTCAGATGGCTACTTTTATAGTCACATAATTGTTCAGGCCTCCTAAATCTCCATTTCTACTTAGATTTTTTCCTTTAACTTTCCTCTTGAAAATTTAGGACTAGTGGTTATTCTGTCATTTTATTCTCATTCACTCTTGTGGCCATGGTTCCATCTTCAGAGTTAAGACCTTACTTTTTCTCAAAGTACTCAAGGATTAGTAAATGAGACAGACATGAAAAAAAATGCAGTGTGGCAAATTATTATATTTTACAGATACGTATAAAAATATAGTGAGGGCATCAAGAAAGAAGATTAATTTTTCTCAGGTAGTTTCTGGGAGACTTTGCAGAATAAGGTATACTTGGACTTTAATGAGGAGTAGGAGTTTGGGAGACATGCTAGACAAACGGGGTAGAAGGAGCATTTTATTCTAGGAAGAAGGAATAATATGCAAAAGGAAGAGGAATCAAATAGTTTGGTATATTTAGGGGTAGGTAGATTGAAGAGTTAGCTAGAAAAACCAGATCACAGAGGGCCTCAGATGTCAACTAAGACATTAAACTGTTTAGAGCAAGCAATGGGAGCCATTGAAGAGTTTGATTGTACATGTTTCTTAAAGCAGGAGAATAATGTAATAAGATTTATATCTTAGTGTGTATTTTTTCCCTGCATCAATGAAATTAATTGCCAATGTCAGCATTTTCCATTTTCATCACTATGCATATTCATCTAATCCAGAGGTATTAGATGTATTAGAATAATATGCCCAAGGCCCCACCTCAGATCACTTAAATCACAACAGGATAGAGTGGCCTGGGCATCAGTGCCAAGGTAACTGGAATGTGCAGCTAGTGTTAAGAACTACTTATCTTACCTTATGTACTCCTTTCCTTTATCTTCCAATATTTCCTAACTCTCATTCTTTTTTTTTCCTGTAGCATTTTAGAGCCCCAAATATCTTGTCACAAATTGGATGCTTTCTGACAATAAGAATACTAAAGCATGTATTGTCTAAGTTAAGCAACTTAAAAGTACATAATTAATGCCAGTAATTTTATATTGTTTAATTTTAAGCTAGAAAACTGATTGATTTGTTGGTTATTGTTGAAGGAAATAATTTCAACATCTGATCACCTTTGCAAGCATTTTATATATCTAAGTGGTTCTGTATGTGTGTTTCTAAGTATCTATGTGTGTGTATGTATGGTATCTTTAAACTTACCTGTAAAGTTTTGCATTCCTTTTTTTCTTTTTTAATTTTGTCTTTCATACACATGGTCTGTTTCTCTCTGTGCTGTGACTATACAAACCAGTCAACAGTTATTTCTAATGTTATCCAGAATTAAGAACAAATGAAATAAAGTTTTAATTGTAGTTCATTTTCACAACGAAGTAACATCTTAATTTCATTATCTCATTATTTCTCAGCTGTGAATTTCATGTTATTTGCAGCACTGATAGCCAACTTTTTGTGAGATTGTTACTGTTCTTTTCTTCTGACTGCGCAGATCTTGTGGCTCACATTTCTCCCTTTAGCTTATTCTACTCTTAATTCTGGACTTTCTGCTAGTTTCAAACACACCAAACTTATTATTTGCTCCCTATCTTCCAGAGCATTCTTTATTCATGGTTTAATTCATTAATTCATTCAGATTTCTGATCAAATGTCACTCCTCAGAGATGCCTTCCCTGACCACTTTATCAAAAATAGCACTCTTCCCACCCCAACACTCATTCTCTGTCTTTACCCTACTGTTTTTTCTCAGTAATGCTTATCACTACCTGTAATTGTATTATAAAGTTGTTCACTTGATTGTTCGCTCTTTCAGTGGAAATAACTCCCCAAGGCATGAACTTTGTCTTATTCACCACTATACCCCCAGTGCCTGGCACATAATAGGTGCTAATTCTTGTCCATTTTTTTCCAAACATACCATTTTATGTCAAAGTAATACATACATTGCTTTTTAAAGTTAGTGTTGAAGTCTTGCAGTGATATATATCAGTCATATCTCTTCAAACTCTTAACTTTTTTCCAGTATATACTTACATATATTTGAATAATATGCCTATATGAAAGTTATCATTTGTCTTATTATGGTAGAAGAGAAATTAGTACTTTTATTTCTCTTCCTCATCATCCTAGTGTAGTTTTTTGGTTTGTTACACACTAAGTCTTTCATTATGACTAAAGTTTTATTGCTGAGCCACAGTGTGCTGTAAATCATGTTTCCTTTTTTGCCTACAACTTTTCCCCCAGAGTAAGTAATCATATCTTCTCATTGTCTTAGTTTTCTTTGCACAGTTGGCTAAGTTGTTTCATGCTATCCAAAAACTTCTCTGTAACCATTTTTCCCACCTAACACCTATCAGATGATTTATCTTTCTCCCCCACCCCTATAGTCCTCCATCCTGCTTCTGACTGGACTGGTTTCCCTCTGTGCCTGGTGTACGGCTGTTCTGGACTTGTCTTTGCTATCATTCTAGAAATTTCCTATGCTTTTCTATTTTATCAAAACTATGTCTTCTTTCTTGCTTTACTCTTACTTTCATGAAATACATTCTTTAGAAATTTCCTGCAAAGGTGTCTATAGTGGGGTGGAGTTCTTGTTGTTTTTTTTTTTTTTGAGATGGGATCTCAGGATCTTACTTTGTTGCCCAGGTGGGTCTCAAACTCCTGGGCTCAAGTGATCCTCCTGCCTCATAAGTGGTAAATTTTTTTCAATTCCAAATGCCCGAGAATTTATTGGTCTAGCCTTACTTTTGATTTATAATTGGGATTGCTATAAAATTCTGAATTGGAAAACATTTATTTCAGAATTTTGAAGACATTATCTTGTCCTCCATTCTTGATTTTTTTTTTCTCTTCTAGTAGTTTTTAGAATTTTCTGTTTAGCCTTGGTATTTTTAAATTTCAAAAGAGTATACCTTGTGTCATTTTTTGTTCGTTATGTGTAGGCTCTCTGGACCTTTTCAGCCTAAACATGTACCTCTTTGGTTCTAGGATTTTTTTTCTAAATTTTTTTTAAGATTTCTTCCTCTCCTTTTCTGAAAATTCTGTTGGTCATATTGCACTAAATTGGTTATCAAAGATTCTTTTTATCTTATTATTATTTTGAGTTCTACTTTCTGGTTATTTCCTTGGTCTTCTACTCCTCCTGTTGAATATCGTGATTCAGCAATCATACTTTTCACTTGTAAAAACTTTTTATTTGCGAAATATTTTTTCGTTGTTCTTATGGCATCATTCCATGAACATTATGTCTTCTCTCTAGGTTTCTTTGAAGTTTTCTTCTGTTCTCTAATTTTTCATTTCTACTTATTTTATTAGCTTTTCATATATTTCATTGCATGAATGTACCACACTTTATTCATTTGCATCATAATCGATTACAATATTATGAATACCTTTAAGACTTTCTGTAGATGTATTTTCATTCTCTTAAGTGAAGATCTAGGACTGCCATTTTTAAGTCATAGACTAGATATACGATTACTTCTTATAAGAAACTGCTAGATTATTTTCCAAAGTTGTTATACCATCTTTGTACCCTAACCAACGTTTGAGAGTTCTACTTGTTCTACATTTTTACTAACATTTGGTATTGTCGGTCTTTTT